GGTTAAATGCTTTAAAATTACAATTTCAAATTTCAAACAATAATATCTTAAGAGTTTAAGAGATATTAAAATATCTTGTGTTCTAGTTACCAAATTTGGTCTGAAGTTACCTATATGTCAGTTTCATGTAACAAAAGAAACAGGTGAGCGATACAGGCCCTCTGGGCCTCTTGTTTGAAGCATTCTTACGCATTATTATACACAATATTATAGTAGTAAGGTTTTCACTAGGACACTTGACCTTATACACTGGCTAAGTGTTCTGTCCATTTCTACTATATTATAATAGTAGTAGTAAGATTTTCACATATCCTTTGTATGCCTGTCTGTGTTANCGGTTTTAGCATTTCTGGAAATGGAGAAGAAGCTTTTTTATTTATTTTTTTTCTTAATTTTTCACTTTTTGGCCCCTAACTAAACCCCCTAGGGGACCACACCCTTATTTCATAAATTCATTGAGCCCCTGGTCCCAGGGATGCTTCATATCAAATTTAGTTAAAATCCAATCAGTCGTTCAGGAGATAAAGGCTTTTAAAGGGAAAAGTTGACGCCGGACGACGGACGGCGCGGTACGGCATAAGCTCATTTGCCGTTCGGGCAGGTGAGCTAAAAACTTCTAGGCTATTAAACATCATATTTGACAATGTACGTTGTTTGTTATGTTTTTCACTTCAAATCAGACTTTCTGATTGATCGATTTAGTTTGGGGAAAACATGTCATTTTGTGACATAAAAAACATATATCAACTTTATTTTTATTATTACGTTACACTTGTTTTTCAACGGTGTCAAATTTAATAATATTTATCATATTGTATGTTTTGTTTCAGAATACAGTTGTAAAGAAACAGTTTGCCATGGCGTCAAATGTGACTGAAGAGGTAAAAACTCTCCATAACAAAATGATACTCAATATTGGTTTCGAAATTTTCGGGGGAACGTTGGAGGTAGTAAAAGAACTATTTAGGAATAAACCACTGAACTCAGCCGATATGTCTAGGATTACAAACATCCCATCACTCTTCAAACGTCTAAGGGATTACGAAACAATTGATTATGGAGATTACCAAAAGTTTGTATCTACGATCAAGTTCATACATCCGCGCGTGTGTCTAATGGTACAGGAGTATTCTGAGAAAATCAAAACACTGCAGGGTAACCTAGACGACCAAGGTAAGCTATGGGCGTTTTCAAACGATCACTATGATAGAGAACCTAAAAATAACCACAATCCCTTTTTTATCGATATGCATGTCAACAGGCACATATCCACCAGTTTTACAAAACTATCCTGGACTAAGTAGTTGTAGCTGCTCTCTTACTATCACTTATGTTGTCATCTTGTAATTTAAAATGGTCATGTATTTCTCTAGGAACATAACGGATTTGTCATCATGCGTAGTTTTCCAAAAAAATGGAAAGAAATGAAAACATATCAGGCCCTTTGATTTCCGGATATTCTTCTGATCTAGTAGTTTGTCAAGACATATGTAACGGTCTTCGCCCCTGACGCAACCCTTTATATAGAGAGCACGACTACTTTAAACTGCCACTAATTGCTTATAACAAGCCCCCGGGAAATTATATGGTATTTCCAAACCAGTACCGAATGACTGACTAGATCTAAGGAACTTAAGAACTAGAAAACATAGGATAAGTTTACGCACACCTTTACGGTAACCGTTTATTAAGTATGAAAGGCCGTTCATGTCAAAAACGAGATAAACTAACGCGTTAGCATTTAACGCGTTAAAACATCATTTAACGCGTTAAACAAGGATTTAGCGCGTTAAACAACAATTTAACACGTTAAAAATAGTGTTAACGCATTAAATGCTATCACGTTAAATACTAACGCGTTAAACTTGACAACTAATCATATGCGTCCTTGCATATCAGCATTGTGAAACCAAAATGCAACTTATTCCGTCTTAGCGTATTGCAGAGTTATCTTCTCTTGTGATCAGGTATTGATTGTTACGTCATTGGTTTTTGTGAGAAAATTACGTCGTTTTCTCAAAAATTGATGACGTTACTCTCACAAACAAATGACGCAACAATTAATACCTGATCACAAGACAAAATAGTTGCTGAGGGG